GTCAGGGGGTTGAGGTGTAGGTTCCGGCCAGGTGGCACTTACCTTGGACGGCTCCTGAAAGCAACAGCTCCTAGGCAGGGGAGAGGGGGGTCTCCGCGCGCTGCCCCTGCCCACAGGCACTGCCCCCACAGCTCCCATTGGTCACAGTTCCCGGCCCATGGGAGCCGTGGAATTAGCGCTCGGGGCAGGGGCAGCATGTGGAGACCCACTGCCACACACCCCCGCCCCCAGAGACCGCAGGGACATGCCAGCTGCTTCCAGGAGCAGTGTGGAGCCAGGGGAGGCAGGGAATCTGCCTTAGCCCCGCTGTGCTGCTGGACTTTTAGTGCCTACAATCTCTGGGCGTGCAGGAGGCGCTGGGAAGGAAGGGGAGGAGTTGAGGGAGGGCGGGGGAGGAGTTGATCAGCGGGGCCCGCGGACCGCAATTTGCGAAACGCTGCTCCAGAACATAAACCAGTCATCAGGCTCCTTGGCCATAATGTCACCAGTTCATGAACAATTTTTACCGCATATGCATCATACCTCGGCATCCCTTATTTGTTGGAATTGCTTTACAGAAGGAAAATCGGGGCTTCCTACTTTCTTCCACTCCAAATAGGGATTGGTTAGGTTGTTGTCCAGGTAGTATGTCACATACACAAGCTCTTTAGAAACACAAAGGAAACATGTAAAGCTCCTAATCTGGGTTTAAAGACGAAGGGTCAAACTTTCAAAAGTGCTTAAATGACTTAGGAGCCAAAGTCCCATTTTCAAAAGTGACTTAAGAGCCTGAATCTCACTGAAAGTCAACGGGACTCGGGGTAAAATTTTCACAGGTGCCTAAGACTAAATATTTTCAAGCCTTGGTCCTTAATGTTATGCTCTTAAATTCCTATCTACACTCCTATATAGAAGTGTCCTGACTTTCACAGATGCTGACCTCTAGTAGCAACTGTTGAAGACAACACCAGCAAATCCTACACACCGTGCAATGTTCAATATCTAGATTACATTATGATCAATCCCAGAGGGAGCTCTTTGCTCAGCGAGACCTGGCTTAGGGGCAGCTGGGCTGAATAGTTTCTGAAAGTGTAGAATTCCCTGTATCCCTTCAAGGCCAGAGGCAGGCCCAACTCTGGGATCAGGGTCCACAATCTTTCCTAATCCAGTGCTCCTAGACCCCAGAAAATCCGGGGCTGCCAGGTAAGGAGAGATTTCTAGCTTGGTAATATACAAATTCTAGATGTGACCTCAGTTGTGAAATGAACCCTTTGGAAATGTTTGCCGTGAACCTTTTCCTGGTTCAGTATCCAAATCCCCACACGCAGCCCATTTACCTGCATGCCTGGGGAAACGAGTAATGTTCACTGTCACAGCACTGATGTTAGAGGATGTCCGGTTGTCATCACTAGCGTAGATCAGTATGGTGGCCTGCCAGCTGTCTGACGACTGTAGCTCCGCAGGAGTGTGCACGGTGGCTAGTACTCCAACAGTGTCGGTGTCGGCACTTTCGCCTTTGCTGATAATATCTGCAAAAACTTGGTTTTCCCCTGGAAGTAAAAATACATTTTTGTCACATAAGGTAACTACACCAGCGGTAGACCTGTGACGAGGTGAAACACAGAACTGTCTATACGCAGGGCTGAGCTACAGATTACTTGGTTATACCAGCATGAATTTGGAGGAGCACTGGTGAAGTCACTGGATTTACCCTGCCATAACTGAAACTGCCCATGGTGTTCAGCTCTGGAAATACAGCCCAGGTTCTGCAAAGCACTTCAGCATGTGCATAAATCTCATTTACTATGTTTGTACAGCATCTGGCACAGTGGTCCGCCAACCTGTTTGGCCTTTAGGTACTACATGCTGTGACAGACCCAGACCAGTGGGGTACAGGAGTCTGGTAGAGGGAAAATATACTGGTCACTGGGTGAGTAGGTTTCTGTTCCCTGAGGGAACAGAGCCGGGGCTGGC